ATAGTTCTGATTTAGTGCATGAAACTTGTATACCTATTTTGCCAAATAGTGATGCATGCACTGATACCTACACACATTATAAACAACGGCGAAATCCACAAAATTATAATTTTGCTACCCGTAATTCAAATCGTTCGCGGTTTAAGGTTACTGATAACAGTGATAATGCCGATCGAGCTCGTATTGATCGCCCAGGTTCTTCTCGAGAAAAGAACCACAATATCACTGCATGCAACATGAAATGCATAACATGTAATCGATCGAGCGACGATCGCAAAAATAATAATAGTCCGAGCGAAAACATTACTCATGTTAACCCTTCAGCCGCCACAACTGAAAATGTTAACTCTTTGGTTGCCGAACGTAAAAATGATAATTTGGATATGTTTCCTAGCGTCGACGGACATCCTTGCTGCAATGCCAATGCAAACTGGCAATGTCAAACAGTAACCTGCGCGGTCGCAGAGGATTCAAATTTTGTTCATCAAAGATGTCCGGGCGACAGTAAGATTTGTATACCATTAGTTGAAAATTATTGTGATAATAACGGGATGAACCCGAATTTTCCGGAATATGGGAATAGGTGTGATGTAATGGGATTTGATTGTTTTTATGGTTGCGGCGGAGATGACGATCTTATGGGACCCCCTATTGGTCGTGACGTACGGCCGATTTTTAACATAAATATACTGGGTTTTGACGGCACCGCTTTAATAGACACAGCTGCAAAACACTGCATCGCGGGTCATACGCTATATGCTCTCCTCCAGCAGAACAACCATCCTCTCCGCGTTTCCTCTCAACGAGTCAGACTTGCCGACGGTGTGGTGCGCATTATGGACGTTTTTACCACCACACTCGATGTACGCCTAGAGACGACAATTATTTCCACTCCATTCCTCATATTTCCTGAATCCACCAATAATGAAACGTTATTAGGAATAGATTTTATTACCGCAGCTGGAGTAGTAATCGACTTCAAAGAAGAGGTTTGGTTCTTCAGTGATGATGCGATGGTAAAGTATAATCTGTGTTTCGAACCTAAGTCGCGCAAAGTTTCCTGCGCCGCTACAGACATCCTTAGAGATGACGAAGGTACTCACCTTACGCCGGCTGAACGGCAAGCGCTCGCTGACGTACTGGACAGGCACGCAGACATCTTCAGAGCAGGGGGAGGTCCAACTCCGTTTGCAGAGCATCGCAACGAAACAGGTGAGCATACACCAATATCAGTACTCCCATACTGTTTAAATCCTTCGAAGAAACCGCCTGATATTATATTAGGGAAGTACCATACCCAAGACCTTACCTGTTACCACGGTAACAAAGACTCCTTACCCAAACCAGTGATTCCTAAGAGGAAACGTGGACGCCCAGCTAAGGCTGTTGATGTCCTAGTCCAGGAGCGAGGGCGTTCTCCAGGACTAGAGGGGGAGTATATAGCAACCCTAACGCCTGCCGCGTCGGCAGCCGCGTCTGATCGCGCGCCGCGACCAATCAGGGACTCTCGTTGTCGGTTCTCGGCGCGATTCAAAGAGTAGCGACCGAGTGGCTTTCCTTTTGGCAAGCCGCGCGTACGCCTTTACTGGCGCCGACAGTTCACCCGCAACCACCGAAGCATACACACGAGAATACGTCCGCACCTCGCTCGCTACCATTCCTTTTCGAACTTGTTTGTGGGACCCTCTGGAGTATTCATACCCAGTGCTCCAGCTGGACAACACAAAAATTGTTATTTAATATGCAATAACGTCGTTAATATTTGTTTTTAGCAATTTCGCAAGATTAAAACTGGGATTAGACGAACAAACACAAATTTTGGTTATTTAATAGGTAATATACCGGGATGGGATGGTTATACACCGTAAGAAAATAGTAATCGTAAGAGAGATCATTTAAAAAAACACCCAATCTATTGTGTTTGTGTACAGAATTAAGTCTTAGTATTTACTTATCGTCTAAGCACAAACAAGGACAATTCTCATATACCTATAATAATAGTGAGCAATACTACTAAATCATAGAAGAAGTCGACGAATACGATGAGAATAATAAAAATATTATGTTACGTAGCAACGTCGGCGATTTTATGTGCTTGATGTTTTAAATAGATCGCATACATTTGCCGAGCCTGGTTCAACACCCTGTTTACATTATGTTTACGAACCATTTTGTCAAAATGCATCGCTAACTCGTTATAGTCCATACGGTTTCTCATTATGTAATCCCTGTGTTGTAGCAGGACCGTTAGGCATAGGAACATCAAAAATGGATTTCCTCCTCCGAACACAGCGGGAGGTGGAAGACTACTTATACTAGTTTTTGTTGAAGCATCGCCAACGATCGGAGATACGTTAGTATTTCTTTGCGGGGGCGGCTTCAAAACTTCGTACTTCTTCTGGAAATTGTTGATGGTTGATGCGACGCTATGCAAATTGGGCTGCCTCACGCTCAACAACGATTCGCAATTTTTTCTTGCATTCTCCAATTCTTGTGACATACTAGAGAAGAAATTCTGTGACCTCGAATTGTTCGATATCTCTTGTTGATTGTTCATTGATTGTATTTCTTCTAATTGCGTCACGTTTTTGTCGGACACGTCAGAATTACTCGAGTTAACATCACTTTGTTTAGTTATCTTAAAGGAGTCGTGAGCATCAGCCGATTGAATTTTTCTTAATAATTTGATTGGTGTAACAGACTTTTTTCCGAAATGTTCTTCGATTATTTCTCCTGTATCACCGTCGAAGTCGAGATCGGCTTGTTCGTCAGGAGTTTGAGGACAGCTGGCCGATGTCCTCGTCGTTGGTGTGTTCCTGTGTAACGGGTTTTCCCATAAATATATATCTTCAGCGCTTCTTGCGTTTGACTTTCCTGTTTCGAGTAGCGGCGACTTCTTTACCATTTCTTTTACTTCTGTAACTTCTATGTGCGGATCTAAAACATCGCTAGCTCTACATTCCGGTTTCACTTCTTTAAATTGATTGATACTTAATTTATCGTCGACGCTAAACGAATCGGAAGGCGAATCGCATAACATACTGCGCCGATTAATGTACGATGGTCCGAACACTTGTCGATCTAAATGTTCTAGTTCTAGTCTTAGCTCCCTCGTCATGGAAGTATTCATTGGATAATATTCCTGAGAATCGTCGGGACTGCTGCCCTCGTTGGTTTCCGGACAAGTGCTCTTGTTTATATTCATCTTCAGCGAATCTTCTTTAAAAGATCTCTTTTTATTATCGGTTTTCGTTAACGTTATTCTTGGACAATCCAGATAGGAAGCGTTGTCGACGGCCGATTTAGTTCGTTGTAATTGGGCGTGTTGCGTATTGATTTTACTTCCCGTTGCAAAGTTAAGGAATTCATTTAGGTTTTTGATCATTTTAATTTTGGGTTTTTCTGGAAATTCCGAATTCTCGGTGTCATTCAGTTTTTCTAACGACGAAAAGAATTTACTGTTATGCACCGATATTTTATTTCTCAATATTCTTATTTGGTTTCCCAGCGGTGTCTCTTTGGAGGGGTCTGCGTGAGGAGTTCCATTCATTAGATTTCCTGTACTCGACCACGCAGTGGACAGTGTATCTTGGATTTCAGCCTTTGTATTTTCCGGAACACTTTTCATACTTCGTCTCGTTTGACCTTTATTATCTTTCGGGGACAATCCGTTCTCTTTAGTCGCGTACTCATCGTGGCGGTCGAATTTGGCGTTTTGCATGTGTAGCGCTGCATCATCTAAACTTTGGAACTCTTTGGAATGTTTTAGCGACGAATTAACAAAAACTTTACGGGTTACGTTCTCGTCTAAACTATGATTCATTTGATTACTTGTAGCGAGCTTTGGGGCTTTTACATTTGCTAAACTGAAACTGGAACTTTGCCTTCGGATGGCACACACTTTGGTGTATGCGTTTTCACGAGGTGTTTTCAGTAGTGGGCTCGATGGCGGCGGCTCATCGGCAAGATCGTCTACTGGATCGAATTCCTTTTCTTTCAACGATAATTCGAGCCCTGGAATTTTCTGGGGTAAAGACGCCCACAGCACCTCGAGCATTCTTAGTGCGTCATCGAAAGCAAATTCACGTTTCATTTCCAGTAACAGCCATCGGTAACAGAACAGCAGATCGTCAGCTTGTTGTAATTTTAAATAATTATAGAAATCCGGATCGTAAACCTGCAGGGATTCGGTGAGATGCGAAAATTTTAGGGTCATAGCTTCCCCGTCGAGAAGGAAGTTGGGGTACAGGCGCGTCATGAGCGCACAGAGACAGATATACGCGTGAGCTTCGTCGCCCATTGTAACTAGGAGAGGGGACGCGAGATCGGACATGCCTTGACAATAACTTACGGTTGGATGATTCAAAGCATAACTGAAACAATACATTGGCCATTTCAAACAATTCATTCTTTTGTTAACATATTTTAAATTAAGTAGTCACCAAGCATCCTTTCATCTAACCTTTTCATTTAACATAATTTAGAATAATAACAATAATTAATAAATAAATAAAAATTCGTCATATATAGACCATATCGACGCTTGAAAGGCAAACGTGACTAAGCGACAATAACTGCTTTGGACATAAATGATAGGCAATAACCATACTCGATGCGCAAAAAAATATATATTTCTAGGTCTATTAAAATCATTTCAATCCTACAATTCGTTAAAATAGAATTTTTTTCAGGTATTTCAACTTTAAATTAGTCTACTGTAAAGTTCACGCATTGACGTGTCACATTTGCCTTTCAAGCGTCGATATTGTTATTTTAGTTATAAATCAACAAGAAACCAAATACTTGTTTACTGGTGGGAGGACCTCTTGTGAGTCCGCGCGGGTGGGTACCACCACCCTGCCTATTTCTACTGTGAAGCAGTAATGCGTTTTGGTTTGAAGGGTGGGGCAGCCGTTGTAACTATACTTGAGACCTTAGAACTTATATCTCAAGGTGGGTGGCGCATTTACGTTGTAGATGTCTATGGGCTCCAGTAACCACTTACACCAGGTGGGCTGTGAGCTCGTCCACCCATCTAAGCAATAAAAAAAATAGCATAAAAAAACTTACGTTGTCAAGATATTAAATAATGAAGCAATGTTTTGATTGTCGTCACTGCCGGCATAAAATGTGTGATGTCTGTCGGTCCGGAGAACATCCTTTCGGACCATACTTGTAACGTACGCTAGATCTGCATTTACCTGCAAAATAAATCCATTACATTTTATTGCCGTATAGAGCATACGGCCCACCGATGGTGAATGGTTACTGTCGGTCATGACGTCAGCAATGCCAGGGGCAGAGCCAAGCCGCTGCCTACCGTTGAATACTCTACACAAGCCTCGTTTGAAAAAGGACATGTCATCATACTTGGGAAACACCGTGGGGGGAAGCTCATTTCAAAGCCGGATGGTACGTGGCAAAAATGATCTCTGGAAACGCACTGTGGATGACCGCAGTGGCTCCAGGTAGTATGGATGAACTCTACTCCGGTGGCGGGCGGTGCGATGGTAAAAACGAGATGATGGAATCAACTCAAACAATTCCTAAGAGCACTCCCCATGGAACATACGGTACGAAATACAGAGGGAACCGAAGTCCTTCCGCAGACCCAGAGGTTACAAAAACATGCAAGATTATAAAACAAAAACATGGAAATTACTCAAAAAATATTTCACATTTGGAATTTACAATGAAAGTAGTACCTATAGACAATTAAGTATACCTGAATGAATTTAAATACAAAGAAAACGCTATATTTAGTTATTTGATAAATTGTGACGCAACAGTTTAGTGTAATACACACCGTGCCAATAATCACCGTTTCTTTTTTTTTCAATCACAGTTTTGCGACTTTACAAGAAACTAGATCAATCCCACATCAATATAGTGACAAAGCTGATGATTTTGTCCAATCTCTGTCTTCCAATGTAACTATAACCTTTTACTCTAATAGAACTGGCAAACTTAAATTTCTAAGCTTTGAAATGCATGTATTAACGAAAGCTGCTAAATTGTTTTGTAAAGTAATAATAAAAACATTTCATTTATTGCACATAATAATTTGACTAACTTAGATGAAAAGAAGGGTAGCATATCATTTATATTGATTTAGATGCGCAAACAAGCTTTCATTCTATCCAGTGTGAAATGTTTATCAGAGTCTTGAAACATTAATGCAACCTGGACATATGAGGTTGAAGAATTTATTGTATCCCTTTATATTGAGAGTATTGTGAGAAAAAAATGTTAAGTATGTGTAAAACATTACAATTGTTTGTAACATTTTTTTTTTTCATTATTAATCTGGAATTCATAGACTACAAGCAAATAAGTTGACACAAAAGAGTGGCGTTTATGAAGAAGGATGTTTGCCGTAGTATGTTTGATATATAAAAAAATATATTTCATATATCTAGTTCGTAAGAACACGACGTCGCGCCTATAGGATTATAGAGACCCAAATCAAAAAAAAATTGTCTTTTTTTAAAACATTAAATGAAGTTTTCAAACCGAAAAGACGTAGAGGAAGGGAACGGAGTGAAAGAGACCGATGGATAAGTTTGTCCCTTTATAATCTACTTTTAGTCATTTGATTATTAAGAGTCGCTGAAAAGGGTCATTCTAGGTCAATTTTTTAATTAAAGTCTAAATCTAAAAATTTCGAATGGGTCTCTATAATTCTAAAGGCGATGTGATTATATTATGATCACTTACCATGCCTTTCTGAATACAATCTTTCCATCGCGTTCTCAGAGAATAATATTCATTAGCTTTCATTTTAATGTAGTCCATTCTTTCTTTTCCTGTCATTCCTTCGGGATATACATTCAAAATATGTTTCCAGACAACTTTCCTTAAAATATATGCAGGCACAATAAGTGAACAGAAAAATGAAAATATAATACACAATATTATAAGCGGGTATCAGCGATTGTACGCACGCAACGAGCCCTCGTTTAAATCAGTTCCTCTCAGAATGAAAAATCATGAAAATATTATACCACATATAGTTAAGCATCTATAGAAATTAAGTTCGATAAATTATTATACTGAGGCCAAAGTGGTTCAAGAGATATGGCAAAACTAGATTATCCTTTTCGAGATGTCGTGGGAATCAGCCAACCGGCAAAAGTTGTTTAGTGCACTTCATAATATACATAATACTTCATAATCAATTCATAATGCACACATAATTATGTCATATTTTTTGGTAGCCATTGTAGGCAGCTAGCTAGCATACCTAGTTGATTGTAGATAGTAGCCTTGATCATGGACAACAGCAAAAGTATCTTTTTAAATAACTAATTTTCAAAAACACTTTTAGTCTGGAAGACTGAATACTATTTTAAAATTACTTTAATAAAAAATATATATTTTTGTATACCTCAAACTGGGATCAATACCTCCACAGTATATTACTTCTCTTAGTTTTGTTGGATTAGTAATCTGGCCAACTGCATCTAAGAAAGCTCTAAACTCATTGTCACTTAGAGGTGGTCTCGGTGGAGTGCTAGGGTCTTCATATAGATTTAAAGCTCTTGAAACCATGTTGAATGTTTTCTCAACCTAAAATGAGACAAGAACATTTGTATGTTAGTGAAGCATTATCGTTTAAATACGTTGAAGCTAATAGCTCCTTATCAATATGGTATATATTCATATTATAATACATTTATATTACAATATCCTGTCATTTTATCCACTTAGTTTTGTATTGTCAATTTAATAGCCAATTAATTAGGATTTTCATTTTCAGCCTTTTCTAATGTCTCTGATGTTTACAGTGGCAAGATCTAGGCCTAATATATATTTGCATTGGTGAGAAACCATTAGACATTAAATATATTTTTTAGTATTATATTTTGAATTATGAGGATATTGCAATCAAAAGCACTCCCCCACAGTTCTCTCTTCTTACATAGAGACTTGTATATGAGATGAATGAAAATAATTGTATCAAAATACTATATCATGACTGAAATATTTCCTCAATTTATTGAAAAAAAAAGTTTTTTTATTAAACTTCATTTACCTGATTCATAATTAGTCCTTGAAAACCAGTTTGAGATTCTTGTTTCTCTGTTTGATGGTGCAACTGTACTGGTGCAACTGTAGGTTGTTCTTTGTAACCATGATTTGTTATTGGTGTTGGAGAAGCAGGTGGTGGCTCCCAATCTTCAGAGGCTTCCGAGAAAGGTTTCATATCGACTTTCAATAGAACACATGGTTCTGTTCTTAACCCAAGAGCTATATTATGAGCCCTATAATAAACAATTAATTAATATTATATTTTTTTAATATATGCAGCACAATTGTAAACTAAAGCTTACATTCTTAAAGGTAACAGTATACATTTCCTTTGTTCTCATTTTTCTTCTTTTACAACTTCAAAACTTAAAACAGTGCAAACGATAGCTTTATGAACATATTTTTTCTGTCATTATGAAGGCTAAATGGAGCCTGTTATTGGCACTCATCAATTAAGTAAGACCTCTTATTGTGTAGATCTCTTTTGAGAAAATGTGAAACTTTAATGCCTTCTGTTTAAAGTCCTTATTTAAGTACTTAAAAAACCAAAAAATCTTCATTTTGTAGGATATTAGGAACTTACTTAAGAAATGCTGCATCCAGGTCCCAGTCTGATAATAGCGGTAAATATATTTCTTGTCCATAATCATCAACACTTCTGTATGATAAGGTGAAGTCAGATTTAATATCAAATGCCTTAACTAAAATGCTCTGTAAGACCTCTAAAGATGTTATTTGAGGATCAACTGAGAACTTCCTCAGCTCTGGCTGGAGTTTACCCTCACATTTCTGTGAAGAATAAATAGATACATTTCAAAGTGAAGTCAAAGGCAGTCTTGACTGGGAGGAAACTAAGCATCCCATTTTTCATAACCTAAGGCTTGAATTTCCATCTCTGCCTTTGATAGGTAAAGTTTCTTTAAATTTATTATGTTTTAAATACTGTTAATGAGTTACAGAATGGTCATTAAAAGAATTGAGTAATGTAACACAGATGGTCAGTGAACCAAACAACCTTTCACATCAAAACATTAAATGAAAGTTTGGTATAGCCACAACATTATATATATGTTTGTTATGTTATGTATAGTTAACTCATAATTATTTCAGAATAAAATAAGATTTCTTTTGCTATAACTTTAATTTTTGGAGTTGAAAATTACAAGTTAGTCTAAGTTCCTTTTGTTGGGCAGTCAGACTTCCCTATCTTATTTACCAAATTCCAAACTCACAGAATTTCATCAGGGAAAACAACAAAATTATTGAGATATAATGAGTTACAAATATTGATATCACAGAAGATATCATACAAGTATTTAATTTATAAACGCAACATTTTGACTCCCTCAAATGGTATATTGAATTTATTTATTTCTCTATCCAATTATAAAAGACACTTTACAAATTGTATACATATGATACCGCTCTTCACATCTAATACAACACGATTTAGCAGCTCTGCTCAAGAGACTAAAGCACATTGAAAACTTCAATTATTGTATTGCACATAATAAATTCTTCACTAATTTTTATTAAAGGTGTTTAATACTCAATAAGCACACCTTTTTGGTGTTTTGTTTCACTTTGAGTTTCATGAACCCACATTTACAAAAACAATATTTTTTTAACTCCGTATTGTATGTACATACCTTAACTTTCACTCTGACTGCTTCTTTGCTATATCCAAACATATTTGCGCATTTTCTATTACTAAGTCTGTTAATTTCACTCTAAATTCATTTTTAATGGCTATAGTTATGAACAATGCAAAGGAAGTCTCTGTATAATATCCATACTATCCATATCTATAATTTTTTAAACATTAAACGAATAGATACAATATTTTAACACCTTTACCATAACACATTCTTTCAAATTCTTTTGTGTTTGATTTTTGTAAAGGGATTATATGACCTGGTAACTAAGACCTTTAGGTCAAGTCTTATTTTAATTTTAATGATAACTTTTTTAGGTATATGAAAAATAATATTATGAAATGAAATGAAGTTGATTATTATGAAACATGGCATGAAATGAAATGAAATGAAATGAAATGAGATGAGACGAGATGATATGGGATGAAATATAATCTCAGTAAAATGATGGTCTGTTACTGAGATTTATTCAGTGGACTTTTTGGAGGATCCCGAGAAATCACGTCCAGCGGCTTTGTTTCATTTTCCCACATTTGCGCACTTTCACAGATATTAAACAGTTAATAAACCACCGTTATCACACATTTAAACCTGAAGAAACACTAAATGACAAAATAAAACAAATCACACAACTTCACTCCTCACGTTCCCGCCAAAAAGATTTTTGTGTTTGGTATTTTGATGCTTCATAGATTAGAGGTGCTTTGTTTGATAGTGGCATACGAAACATGGTGTCAACGTCCTAAAACCTGATATTTTAAATGATATATTGGTATACTCATATAACTTATTAACTCAAATTAATTATACATGCTGTAGATGATTTACAGAAATTATTAGCTTTTATATTTTATGGTTATATACGTCAGCATTTTTCATTCAATTGGCGAAGATTTTCTTTTGAATCTAAATTTTCATTTAGAAATATATAAGGCAGTTTCAGAATAAATTATTAGCAGAATAATAAACAACTAGAACGTTTATTAGTCGTGTGGATTCGAAGATATTTAACAAAATAATTACGAACCACTCATTTCGTTCTACAAAATGGTTATTTTTAAATTTAAAATTTATTCAAGTTTCATCATTTAACCTTAGAAATCTAAGCATAATTTGTATTTATAAAACATATCACGCAACAGTTACATTGAGCATACCTGTCATTTAGTTATATTAGTGTATTTACTTTCCATTCATGTCGACTTTCTAACTTTGGGGATATATATATACGACAAAGGGAAGATCTTCCACCGAGCGGGTGATATTGCTCGGTAGACCGACGGTCCGAATGTTGTTGTTCGGAACTTGTATATATGCAAGCTTGTCTTGAAAATGTCGTAAGCGAGATTCAGGCATCTATCAAATATCTTGCGTTGTATGATGGCTACCCGCCACATCACTCCCCTCCGAGACCGGAGGTCGTGTCATTTTAGTTATCGTTGTCCGTGCTGAGATTAGCTTGCAAGTGCCAGTGCTGCTCGAAGTCTGCGGTGAGTCGAGACTGAGCTTGAATGCTGCGCGATGAGGCAGTGTAGGTGCGTGCCGTAGGGCCAGGAAGCGCGGTGAGTCGGCTGCGATGGTCCTGTTGAGGCTGCGATGCTGGCTTGCTGTGGGACAACTGTCGATGACTTGCTTTTATCTGCGAGAATGCGGGGATTGTGGTAGCCGAAGTTTTTGATGCGCTGATGATGAATCAGAAGGTTGCGTGTTCAGATCACGTCGCAGGTCACCAGTTGTAGGAATATATATATATACGACAAAGGGAAGATCTTCCACCGAGCGGGTGATATTGCTCGGTAGACCGACGGTCCGAATGTTGTTGTTCGGAACTTGTATATATGCGCTTTATCTTGAAAATGTCGTAAGCGAGATTCAGGCATCTGTCAATTATCTTGCGTTGTATGATGGCTACCCGCCACATCACTCCCCTCCGAGACCGGAGGTCGTGTCATTTTAGTTATCGTTGTCCGTGCTGAGATTAGCTTGCAATCGCCAGTGCTGCTCGAAGTCTGCGGTGAGTCGAGACTGAGCTTGAATGCTGCGCGATGAGGCAGTGTAGGTGCGTGCCGTAGGGCCAGGAAGCGCGGTGAGTCGGCTGCGATGGTCCTGTTGAGGCTGCGATGCTGGCTTGCTGTGGGACAACTGTCGATGACTTGCTTTTATCTGCGAGAATGCGGGGATTGTGGTAGCCGAAGTTTTTGATGCGCTGATGATGAATCAGAAGGTTGCGTGTTCAGATCACGTCGCAGGTCACCAGTTGTAGGAATATATATATATACGACAAAGGGAAGATCTTCCACCGAGCGGGTGATATTGCTCGGTAGACCGACGGTCCGAATGTTGTTGTTCGGAACTTGTATATATGCAAGCTTGTCTTGAAAATGTCGTAAGCGAGATTCAGGCATCTATCAAATATCTTGCGTTGTATGATGGCTACCCGCCACATAACAATATCAATAAACACCCTTAATTATAAAACCTCTAAAAAGAATTCATTTACAGTATCTTACAAATAAATTAATGTTATAATCATGAGATATATGTTTTAATAGATGAAAGAATACACGAGCTCACGGCACATCTGGCGTTAAGTGGTTATCAGAGATATCTAATGTAAAAGCTAATGAAAATATTTAGAATACATAAAAAAGTGCGTGCGTACAAAGTACAAACGTACTTTTTGGCGAACTAATTTATGAGTCTTGCTTAATTTATACAAATCTAAAACTTTAGATTTCTGAGACTTAGAGGAAGGGAAAAAGGAAGATATGTTCCCGCCAAAAGTCTGTCAAATGTCAATCTCAAACCTCAGTGTTGACAGTCACATTATGTTTAGATTTCTAAATTGTAAATGACTAATATTTTGCCAATTGAATTGACTAATTTAATTTCATGCTATTTGATTAATGTTCCAAATTCTTTTCATTTCATTTCAATTNCGCCAAAAGTCTGTCAAATGTCAATCTCAAACCTCAGTGTTGACAGTCACATTATGTTTAGATTTCTAAATTGTAAATGACTAATATTTTGCCAATTGAATTGACTAATTTAATTTCATGCTATTTGATTAATGTTCCAAATTCTTTTCATTTCATTTCAATTCCTATTAACATTTTTCACAAAAAAATTATAAAATATTAGGCTGTACGGTATACATTTGCCTTTCCAGTTGAAAAAATACAACAGCTACTACTACTGACATTTGACAAGTACTTAATTTCAATAGTAGTTTGACGTCACTTCCGTTGCATACCTGCGTGACGTACTGTAATTTTACCCTCATGCGCCTAAAGAAGTTTCACGTTTTTTATTGTTTGTTGTTTAAGGGAAAAAAATAAGAAGTCAAGTGAATCAGTCAATTGAAGGTTGACCTTTAATGGGAACGCGAGGAGTGAAGTTTTGTGAATTGTTTTATTTTAAAATTTAGTTTTTCTTACTACTAACTTTCTTACTTACTACTAACTACTTCAGTGATTAATCTGTGATTAAGCTGTCACCATAGATTATACACTTAATATTTTCGAGAGCTGTCACTTATGTAGGTCTTTTGTGGAAGTGCAAGTAAACTTTCTAAGATTTGGTTAGAGTTAAAGGAAATCTTTACGACTTTAGTACTTTTAAAGGCCGTTAAAATAGTGTCCGTTATCGACCGCTAATAGATTTTATATTCCACAACAATGACCGAATTGGACTTATCAAATACTGGTAGAGGAGTATGGTTGGTAAAAGTACCTAAATATATAGCAAACAAATGGGAAAAAGCTCCTGGAAACATTGAGGTAGGAAAACTAAAGATCTCCAGAGTACCAGGAACGAGAGCTAAAGTGCAGTTATCCTTGTCAGAAGCAGTGCTATGTTTAAAGGACCCTGGTGAACAAAGCATACCAAAAGAACATAAGCTTGATGTTTCAAACGTTAATACTCAATCTCTAGGTGTATTTTCGCATATTGCACGTAAGTAGTCTCACAATTATCTATATTTACCGCCTCCTAACATGTCCTGTTGAACTCAATGATAAAATTAATTTCATGTCTAAAGTTCGATATTAAATTATTCGTGTTTATTCATAATATAACCATTTTAGCGACAAATACGGACTCTGTTGTACCAGAGACGGAAAACCTTTACATGGAGGGTAGGATAGTACAGAAATTGGAATGCAGACCAAATGATGATGTGACATACTATAAGCTTAAATCTGAATCAATAAAGAAAGCATCCATGCCTCAGCGACAAGTGCAACAGCTTGACAGGATTGTTCAGAACTTCAAACCAGTATCTGACCATCGACATAATGTATGTTTACTGTTGAAATCTAAAGGATTGATATACTGTATTTTTCAGCAACTGATCATTAAAACATGCCCCTGACTGCATTGGAAGTCAAACTAGAGATGACTAAAAAGTTTTAAATAGAGCATGTGTAGAGCTCTGAGATCTCCAGATGCAGTTTAATACTCTTTGGATATGTTGTTGAATGATATGCTTCATATAAATTCTACTAGAAGTATTAAAATACAGGTTGCAGCAATGTCTGCTCCCATTGTATAGCAAAGTTATCATTTAGACAAACTCGAAAATAAAAACATGATTGATCAATATAAAAAATTATAAATTGTGTAGTTATTGATAGCTACTTATCTGATAACAGTCCTCCATAGGTTAGGAATTAATGGGACATAAGTAGTGATTGATATAATTTGAATGGTGGAACGGTAATTAGGGAATGTTTAGTAGCTTGGGATGGCCAAGACTGTAAAATTTGCATCTTGAGCTGGTATAAAATACAATAGGTACTTCCACCTTTTAGCTGAAGATGGGTGGGCGCATTCATATATGTGTGGTACTGGTACAGATAGTAGGGAGTGTGTAGATATTGGTCCTGCTTATGTTTACAGCAAATCATTGTGTGCTTAGTGTGAGTTTTTTAACTTCTTGATCATTTAAAAAATAACTCAAATTTGTATAAAGTTGGAATAGCGCCCCTGCATTTGCTGCTTGGGGTGCTGTTCCAACTCTGATCGAGAAGTTAAAAAGTTCACACTAAGCACATTGGTTTGAAGGAAAACCTCATACAATAGAATTGAGATTTCGACTTCTCAAGGTTGTTGGTACTATTCATGTTATGATGACTAGTGAGGTAACCACTTTACACTGGGTGGACACGGGGTTCTTCACTCATCTATATAGTAAATTAAATTATAAACATCAGTAAATAAAAACAAATGGCTCTGAATATTTTTACTTTCTATGAGCTCTTAAACCAACCAGAAAACTTTTCACAAGTGACACAATGAATAACAACAGGTTTTAAAATGTTCTTAAGTTGTTTTACTTTTTGTATTCTATTAAGTTTATTTCATTTCATTATGTTAATCATGCTTTTTTTAATTTTGTATATTAAAACTTCGTAAAATGTTTAGATTGATTACCAAGAAAGGAAGAAGGCTGAAGGGAAAAAGGCTCGTGATGATAAAGAAGCAGTGCTCAATATGCTGTTTGCAGCATTTGAGAAACATCAGTATTACAATATTAAGGATCTTCAAAAGGTAATAAATACTATTCTGATGATTTTATATTTGTCTAAACATAAAATTATTAACACATTATTAAGCAAAAAATTTAATCATTGTCTTAATAAAAAAATTAAAGGCCAAAAGAAACTGTTTCACTGTATATATTATATTCTAATTTTGATAATACTGTTCATACTTTGAAACTGAGAATAGTAGTGACTTTGAATTTAAAATTAGATGTTCATAAAAAAAACCACATCTAATTGCATTTAATTATTTTTTCACTAAATCAGTATAATAATAGACATAACGATTTAAGTATATTATTTTATTGTAATTTCAGATCACCAGACAGCCAATAGTATATTTGAAAGAAATTCTGAAAGAGGTCTGTAATTACAATTTAAGAAATCCTCACAAGAATATGTGGGAGTTAAAACCAGAATATAGGCATTACAAACAAGATGTTCCTGTTGAAACGAAGGAGGATAAGAACAGTAATTCTGATACTGAATAGACTGAAATTTGTATTAATTATACAAATATACATAAATATGGATGCCAGAGAATCCTCAACAGAAGCAAAGTTTTTATGTATTTTTCAATAACTTATATTATAAGATGTGTTAAGAATGTGAATTTTTCATTATTACCTGTAATATTATGTGATCAATCTTGGATGTATACTCGAAATAATGTAAAGATTTTAAAAATAATTATTATTGTGTATTCTTGGACAGAATCCTCTTACAAATGTCTCAGTAGAAAAAAGGGAGATGATTTTGTTAGGATGGAGAGATTGTTCGTCTTTTCAGCTTCACAAGTTATTGATTTATCTGTGCAGTCTCGATCTCGTCACGCCACGAACCGGGCTGCTGAGGAAGGCCGTTTCCAACAGAGGAGCCCCTTAGCGTACGGGGTTGTGCATTATGCGATATAGACTGACACATTGAAGGGGAAGTGGGAAAAGTAGAACTCGACTGTGGATAAGCCTCCCATAAGGTGGGTTGACGAATCGGTAAAAGTCGTGGGAATCCGCAGAATGTCGGCAGGGTAGAATCGATCATCTTGGCGAATTTTAAGCAGGCTTATGTCTAGCAGTGGACGTTTGTAGTTATGATGATAATCTCTGGTAAACTTAAAACCTACTTGTCAATCTACTTCAATTAAAATAATACGAGCACCTTCCTGACTATATTGTCAGCACGTAAAAAAGTTTTCATTAAAATAAAACAACCTTTAAATGCTCGAGATTTATTAACAGTTTAAAATATAGTATAATTTAATAAACATCATAGATTAAGTTTATAATAACAATGCATAGTTACGTAGCTCGATATCAACTTTATCAAATTTTCATTTACTAAATTTTATTATGTTGATTTGAATAATTATTTGAATACTCCAGAAGATCTTTAAATATTTTTAATACATAGATTAACAGTAGATAAAATTTAGAGACTAGTAATATAATGCGCTAGTCCTAAAATTATAATTCAAGATAAATCAGTCAAAAGTTACAGTTTGAGAAGTCGTATCATATAGCCAATTTTAGTTCAGTTCATCACGTCATATTTAGATTTCTTGATGTAATTGGCAAGACAACATGATAATATAGTCCCAAGAAGAGGTAGTAAAGCTGTCCCGATCGCGATTCCGATTAAAATGTCCATATTGCTTTCAATATATTCTGCAATTACCTCGTAACAACCCTGAAAGAAAATTCGATAGACTTAAAAAATAGGTACCAAAGTTCTTATTATATTTCTAGTTTCGTCAGGCTAGACTATACCGTAATCTGAAAATTGAATTTGGTTTCCAAAGTTTACAATAAACAATTAATCGAGATTGTCATCGAAGAGAATTAATTTAAGTCACACGAGCAGCGTTACTAACGGTCGACTCTGCACTGCATTCTGCCTTAGGGGCTATTTCAGCGTAACCCTAACGTTTGTAGGTGAGCTCACGGAGCTCAAGCCTGATGACGTTGCTAACACGAACCCTAGCAAGAGCCGTGCTTCGCAGAATCTACCACCGGATCGGAAACGCGACCCACTGAGAAGATCCGGCGAGAAACTCAGTGGGCTGTGTTTGAGAGTTAATTTACTCGTCGAGCCCTGCGAGCGTGACCGGTGCTTGAAGTACCTAAAAGCACCGTTAGTGGATCGGGAGGATCCGAGATGACAATGATCTGCAAGCGAAGTAAATTGTCCCTTCGTAACAAGGTGTCACTCTTCAAAACTTGCATACGTTTTGTCATGACCTATGCAAGTGTAGTGTTGGCTCACGCGGCCCGTACACACATGAACTCTCTCTAGGTTATCCAATCCCGTTTCTGCAGGATAGCCGTCGGAGCACCATGATCTGTGAGGAATGGAGGTCCTCACGAAGACCTAAATTAGTACCGATACGTAGGTACCTTAAGGAAGCGCCAGAACGTTACTTTGACAAAACGGCGCGACACGAAAACCCTCTTATCGTGGTCGCCGCTAATTACTCAAACGACCGCAACAGGGCAGCGCAAAGCCGGCGTCGTCCGAAACATGTCTTGTTGGATCCCCCGGATCCACTCTCAGTGCTTTAAGACCACTCAAGCACCGGTCACTGTCCTCACTCACTGTCACTAGTGTTAGCAAATTCTCTCAGGTTGAATCCATGAGCTCACCTACTCGTCCGAGCGTAGCTGGAATAGCCTCTTAAGCTACCAGCGAATAGGTAGGGAAAAAAGGTCAATCATACGAGATGCAAAAATAAATTCTTCAGGAACCGGCTCTAACAGCGTTTTTCTTCCACAGAAATAGAGACAGTTTTTCCATAGGTGTGGGTTCAGTACTTAAGTGGGAGCCCTACGCGTAAATTGCTATTATTAGCATAATTCATCTAGTTCAGGGCTGTCCAGACAACGGCCCGTGGCTTGTTTTCATGCGGCCCGCGACGCACGTTTTAATTAGAAAATAGTTTTGTATATAAATAGTTTGGATAATAAAATTCTTTGTAAAAACATATTATATTGATATTTGGTATAATTTATCTTTATTCTTTTCCATGACATCATTCGAAAGTGAAGCTATCTTTTACTATTTTTATTTTTGTCTGAAAAGTATTTTGTTTTTGGAAATATATCTTTCTGCAGCCCTCCAGCTTTAAATTTGCCATTTAATTATCCCGCAAAGGTATGTAGTTTGGACAGCCCTGATCGAGTTCATGTTGTTATAACCAATTAAAATTGAGAACCAATAATCTGAAAGGAACGTTAAACATTTAAAAAAATAACAATAAAATAGGGCTACAATTTCTTTGCTTATTTCAGTATTTTGCGCTAAAGCAGTGTACCTTTTGATGGACTTCGCTGTAATTGGCCGTGACGCAGTTATTAGCGTCTACGCAGCAGGAGATAGGGATCACGCGCTGTGGCGACATCCTCATCCAGTCCGTGTAGTTATTTACGCCACAGCAATGCAACTGTTAATATTATTATAACGTATAAGTTAAAACAAGATTTTCAATGGGTAGTTATAGTTACATATATTTTACCAAAATAATTTTTTATTGTGAATGAACTGGTACGGTTTTGTCTTCGACGTAAAAGTACGCTTAAACCAAAACAATATATATAATACGCCCAAAAACAATAAGTGATAACAAGTTAAATAAAAAAAAGTTTCTCGTAAGTATTCGGTAACACTTTTTTATTTACTAGTTTTAAACAAACAAAAATGGGAACAAATCAGACACGGTCATCCGGCCCTAAATTAGGATTCCCTACACTATTTTGGAAACGTCATTCACTTATAACACAGGCGAAAGGCTATGCTATAGGTACCGGAGACCGACATTCATAATTATATATGTTTAAATATATACTCTCTCTCTCTATCTCTTCCCAGCTATTTATCCTACATGGTGGGGTCAGCTTTCCTTACTTTACTTCTCCACTTCGCCCTGTCTTTAAATATATACATATACGTGTAATAAAAATCCAACAAAGAGCAAATAAACCTGTGAATCACACGAACGTTTGTCTGATGTCGGAATCGAACCCACGACCATCGGCGCAACAGTCAGGGACGCTAACTACTGCCCCGCCGAGTCTTTTACTATTAAATATTATGTAGATTTCGAAGGAAGTGCTTAATGATGTAATTTTAGTTAATTTATAAGTCTGAAAATAAAATACCTATATTTTTAAGGGGACTGCCGATTAATAATAGCCTTTGCAGCAGGAACTTGGAAGGAATAAATTGTAATGATATATAATGTATGTCTGATAGTTATGTGGTAGGTTTTTAAGTTACCAACATAGATTACTCGTATAAGTAATTCTTACTAATAAAATGTTATGGTTTTTTTTAAAAACTAAAATAAAGTTTTAATAATAATAATAATTCAATACCTTGGTTTGCGCGAAATCAAAGTTTGCTTTCTGTGGGTTGTAGTGAGTAATTGTTTCGGTAAGTCCGTCGCGAAGGCCCTTAGCGAAGGTGTCGCGGTAGCATGCTACAGAAGCTCCAACGCCGGCTTCCATCATAAATATGCATGCCAAGAAACCACCGTACTGGAAATGAGTAACATATAATTCTAGATATATAAAAGTCGATGTGTGTATATACCTTATTATATAATCCGGTATCACTGAATCAATTTCGAGAAAATCTTCAGATTGGCTATAATAGATAGTGATAATTTCCAATTTGGTAGCGGATCGGATCAGAGTCAAAATAAAGATTGGTCAGCAAAATGGGTCGGGCTAACTAGAATAAAAGTGCATTTGGTACATTTATGAGTGAATCACATTTATTTGTAAGTTTTGGATAATCTGCGTCGTTTCTAAAATTGAGTAACAGGTGAAAAAACGGGTATGGATCGTTTTTCGTAAAGTTGCAAATAAAAAAAATCCTTACCTAATAGTTTGCCCCCAGAGCTTACCAACGAGGCTTAAATAGTAAATGCGAATGATACTTACGATGTAAAGCAAGACGGGTTGTCCTTTGATGATACAGGAAAAGGCCACGGAACTGATCAGTACGATTAAGCCGGCGATTCCAATCATGACATGAGGAGCTGTCCCGGAGAACTCCGGTGAGAGTTCCAGGTATTTGTGTAGATCGAACTCTGCCCATAGTCCTACCACCAACAGTAGTAGCCCAGTTAACTGCAAAATTATATTTTCTCTTTGTAAATATCTAAATGTCCTTCATGTTTCTGGTGCGAAGCAATAATGCATTCCGGTTCAAAATGTGGGATGGGCGTTATACATCCCGATTGAGACTTTAATCTCGTATCCTAAGAGAGGTGGTCGCGTGTAAATGTCTATGCCCTCAGGTAATATAGTGAGTTGTGACTTCTAAACATATTATACGTAAAGCAAACAAAATAACATTTAATAATACAAAAGAGAAAGTGCAAAAACCAAAATAATTTAAATTACTTTCTTCTTTTTCTTCCTAGCGTGTTGCTGGTCTAGCAGCAGGTAACAGGTTCCGCTTTCCTACTTAAACTCCTCCAGTACTACACTACTTTATGCTTTAGATCATGGTAGCCACTTGTCAAAACTTTTCAAATGCTAAAAGAGGGACCGAGCTTTATCGTCGATATGATTGGGTATAAAATACCATTGCCACTTGTTGCGAGTTTGCCCACTAAAGAAGGCTTCATAACATTGTGTCGATCAATATAGTTGCAAAAATAATTAGAAATTCCGAATCGTATCTTATTTAATGCGTTAATAGACTGTACACGTCATCACAAAGCGCAGTACCATCTTCAAAGGTGACGTGGATCAAAGTTAGAATAAAAATCTATGGCTTACCCAAAACACAACATTGAAAACAAAAAGAAAAGTCTTCAAGCAGGCGATGACCGCCACGTTCTTAAATTGATTTCCCATTTTTCATATTATACTGTTACAGTACATTCTTTTTGTTGACTAGTTAGACGCACAGTAACGAAGGCAATGCAATGGATGCTGTGGTCTATCGCAAGGGTGGGTTCGGAGCTTACAAGGCGCATGCGTCATATAATCGGCGTCTCTGTTTGTAAATATGAGATGCCTATTTAGTTTTATTGCTCTTATGAATCATCATTTACCACTAAGGTAATAAGTATAATAAGTTACAAAAATACGTTATTGTGAGCTAAATGATGATTAAATTACACTGAAAGCCTACAAGGAATGATTGTTTTTTTCACAAGTCCATAAACAGCTATACCTATAAAACATAACATGAAAATACGGTCTACCAATGGTTGGTCTTATTTTAAATAAGTGTATACCTAAATAATAATGCTTCATAGTATTACATATTCTTTGCGCGCAGATGTACTTACATTTTACTGGTGATAGGGGGCACTGTAAGCCCACACGGTTAGATACCATAATCCACTGGTATTACACATTTACTGGTGGTAGGACCTCTTGTGAGTCCGCACGGGTAGGTACCATCACCCCGCCTATTTCTGCCGTGAAGCAGGAATGCGTTTCGACTTGAAGGGCCGCCGCTCTAATCATACTGAGACCTTAGAATTTATGTCTCAAGGTGGGTAGCGCATTTACGTTGTAGATGTCTGTGGGCTCCAGTAACCACTTAACACCAGGTGGGCTCGTTCACCCATCTAAGCAATAAAAAAATCCACCCTATTTCTACTTCGAAGCATTCATGCGTTACGGTTTTGAAGAGTAAAGAAAGATGTTATACAAAACTTCGGCCTCATGATGGTGTCCCCGTAATGTCCATGGGCTCCGGCATTTAACACTAGATGAACTATCGATTATTTCACCCCATAACAAATAAGAAAATCGTTTGGGAATCTCTGAGTCTGCGGAGGGACTTCGCTTCCCTCTGTATTTTGTACCGTATGTTACATAGGGAGTGCTCTGAGGAATTGTTTGAGATGGTTCCATTATCCCGCCTGCCACCAGAGTAGAGTTCATCCATACTACCTTGATCCACTACGTTCATACCCAGTGCGTTTCCAGTGATCTTTTTTGCCACGTACCATCCGGCTTTGGAATGAGCTCCCCTCGACGCTGTTTCCTGAGCGCTATGACATGTCCTTCTTCAAACGAGGCTTGTGGAGATTACTTAACGGTAGGCAGCGGCTTGGTTCTGCCCATAGCATTGCTGAAGTTCATGGGCGATGGTAACCACTCACTATCAGGTGGACCGTATGCTCGTCTGCCTACAAGGGCAATAAAAAAGAAAAGAATATGTTTAACAATGACATATTCAAGGATCTTCCGAATTTTATTGAAGAATTATTTTGCGTAGATAGGTAAACCATCGTTTCTAGCGTTTCTGAAGGCTATGGAGCATGTCACCCCCCACATTCTTGACATGAGGTCGAAGTCCTAACTACCTTATTAACGGTTATATATTATTATATCTGTGTATTTTTAAAACTAAGTAAACGAATGCTTTGCTTTGGATCTGCTAGCTTAAATAGTCAGGTGGGCGTCCGACGGACTCAATACACTGTCTATCAACATTAAAATCTAACCAAATTATTTTGCTCATGCTAAGTTCTGTTTTTAAATCCTTTCAACCACAAATGCCACAAATAACTGTCCGTATCCAAAAGCGTTTGTATCCTACTAATGGTGGACGGCCGGTGACTCGCTTGTCAGTTTGTCAGTCGTTCTACGGCGTTTGAACGACGAACGCACGTTTCCTACGTCTCTGGGTAGTGAACGAACAGCGATATAAAACACGTTGTTTCAAAAAAAAAAAAAAAATCGAATGTAAATTTTTGAACGAAGACATTATGTCAAATTATTTGAATATTATTATAGTTGGAGTTTTTTATTTAATAACATCTGGTTCTCCGATTCCCGAAATTGAAGATAATGAAGGTGAGTAATATCAATAATATCCTCATTATATTTAATAAAAAATTGGCATTATGATTTAAGATTGTATAGTTATAGTTGTATTGTTTGGAAACGCGTAAATGTATTTTTTTTAAACTGATCGCATTGATAAGAACTACCTACATACCTACCTATTAAAAATTCTGTCACTTTCAATTTTCCGTCTCTGACGCCGATGACCTGTTATTATTATAAGCTATTCTATCTTACTCAACATTCTCTTAAAAGACGTCTAAAACATTTCAAAGCTAAACCCGCAGACCATTATTCGCAATTAGTGAAAGTTTCAGTATATTGTCATTGAATTTTAGTAATTAAGGTAGCGCATACCTACTTATGACTGAACTTACTTGGTGAATTTCAATCACATTTATGTAATCACACCGCTTATTACAAATAAAATTCTAACGTGACTTTTAATTACGTAAATTTTATCTGACTGCACAGACGTTACGGTTTTTATTTACCGAATTGCGTATGATATTTTTAGTGCGTTACGTGATTTTTCGTTCAGAATAATTCCAATACTTTTAGAGCTAAAAAACACAGAAAATTTAATTGGATGTATCGCTGCTTCTCCAGAATCAAATAGCTATCGTAGGTTTAATAATTACGAGACTGTTTCGAACTTGGAGCTCACTATAAAATTACCATGTTCCTAAAATCGCTACAGTAGTACAAACGAATAGACAGACATAAAAAACCGTTAATTTCGGAACAAGTTCAAACTCTAAGGAGGTATATTTTGTTTATCAAATGTACCAATTAACAATAAATGTATTGTTAGTTACAAATATTCTAAATTCAATTTTCCTATGTAAATTCAAATAATTCACGTTTTAATTCTGTGACAAATTCACTAATTATTTTACCGGAACCCATAGAAATCACGAAGCGATCTTTGGGATTGAGTCGAACCAAAAACACTAAACTCAAGGTTTATTCACAAATATTCACACAATTAATTTATGAAAATTAACAATAAATTGACAGTTACTCGATTTTTCAAAATGGTGCTTATTAAAACGACCGATGAAGCAGGTGCCGACCTAAAAAGTGGTAGTGAGTGTCGACATGTAAGTAGAATAACTACTTTTTTGCTCTGAATTACATCGCAAATGTTTGTTACTCACGTAAAGTTTACAATAAAAGTGCCTAAATGGTCATGGTACTTCGTTTTGTTTCAAGCCAATTTTAGTGTCTCTCAAATTTCACATTTATATCCAGGTTGTTTTTAAGCTACATTGGCAATGCAGAAATAAATAAATAAATACTATTATTTCTTTAAAGCGTACAGTAGTTAATGTTCGAATTTTACATTAATTGTTACGTGGGCTGTACTTATTCTAATTTACCTGTTCAAGTAATGGCTTTAGGCAGGTTGAAAACTAAGGCGAGTCAGCATATTTTGCTTTTTAAATTTTTTAATATTATATAATAGTTTCTTATTGCTTCGACTACAAGCACTCATTGAGATCATTAACCATTAATCAAAGCAATAAGAAAAAAAAATTAGAAACGTTTCAGATAGTGATTTAATCAATTTGAAATCTTTGAAAGAATGGTTCTAGATTGACATTTTATGTAGCGACAAAATACGTTCTCTCAAAGTAGTAACGAATTTACTATTTATTTAATCCCACTATTTAATTTATATCGTTTTCTCTGATCGAACATTATTCCAATGGAGGGGATGATGTTATCCCAAGAAATACGTACGATAGTAAATACTATTGACCTATTTCAAATTCGGATAATGTTTATTGGGACTGTTTCTCTAAGACATCTTCTATTAAACTAAATTTAATGGAATCGTTACTCTTTAGGGCACGTATGAACTAGATGTAATATAATATAATAATATACATAGAAAGTTATAGTTGTTTATCTAACGGAAATAAATTTTAATAAATTTGAATTAAAAATAGTGTAAGAAAAATGATTTTATTGTAAAACAATTCCTTCAATTTTTTTTTCAATTTTTTTTAAATATTGATTTGTCTTCACTCCTTAATAAGTATACCAGATTTCTAATTAATCCGACGTTTTGATGGGGGTCAAAATCATGTTCAAAGATTCCGTTACAAACATACATACATGCGTCTGAAGCTAATAAAAGCGTATTAAAAATTGGTTGCATCGTTATTATCAGCTAGTTAATGGCACAGCGACAGAAACCGTGGCTAAAGTGCCAATGACAACCGTCAAAATTGTATTAACTAAACAAACCATGGGAGAACGCACAAAAAACGAAAACAAATACACAAAATCGAGCTATACTGTATTCAATTATCATATTAGATACCCACATTTACATATGTAGTGCAAAACATCCGAATGCCTGTCTAAATTTGGGTGGAATAACGAACTAGAAAAAAAATTAAATTATAAATTACAAAAAATTCGGTGACACGATTTGCAGATGCCGAATTGTGATGATTGTCGTTAGGTTATTATATTTTAGTAATGAATTTGTCCCAATAATATTATTATAACGACTTATTTTTATATATTAGTTTTACCGTAGAGATTTTTCAACAAAAACGATTTACGGAGTTTAATCTGTGGTAGGGAGCGGCTAGTTGACTTCGAGATGTTCCTAAGCAACCGATTCAGAGTTTTTACGTTCGCTATCGGATCACGATAAAACCTTACCTGAATACAATATTACGAAACATTACACTTTTCGTGTAACATCCAAAGCAAAACTGTTAAGTCACGTTTTTAAAATTACTGTTACCTTCAAAGGAAACTTGATGCGGTATTTAATGTTGTCGCATGCTAAGTTCACGCAACGATATTCCGACATAGTCCCGCTCCCGACAATGCGAGCTTACCGCAAACTGTCGATATTTTACACTTTTCTCACATCGCGCCACAACCTTAACGGTATTATGTCATTTAAGTTAAATGGAATGTTCCTTCTGATTTTGTACTAAGGCATCGACGGATTAAAGAGGACACAGCGTCGCGTCTACTCTGATAGCGGTATCTCACGGAAGGCATCGCTACTGCATTCGAGTCCCGAGGCGCCTGTGACATATTTACGGCAGCAGGAAATGTTCATCTAGTGTTATCTGTGTCACGGATCGCGGTTGCGGCGGGAACGCGAATCCATCTGCAGTAGTTTATCTCGGTATCATTCTAAGATCACCGACCGAATTAAACGCGCATTACGGAAAAACTTTTATTCCCAACACAATAATTTTACGTGATGTACAGTGTGAACGGTCTGTTTGCTATCTCTATCATTTGTATCAAATATTTCATTGTTTACATGACATGATTCGATCCGTCTCGGTTTGATCGTTACCAAACCTTTAACATTTTATATCTGGGTCGGGCAATTGTTGAGTACTCGTAGCGAATTGGAAGTCATGTACCGTTTTGGGTAAAGTCACACTTAATATGACCTTTATTGTCTTATAGTCATATCTCTAAACGAATTAAACAACACAGCAATTCAATATCACCACTATAGTTGATGACACGGCATAAATTATGACGTTTATGATTGACATGAAAGTGATTTTAAGTAATTAAATAAATTACTTTGGGATCTCGCATTAAGGGACAATACACAAGAAAGCGATGCGGGTTTATTTTATTTGGGTTGTTTTATCTATCTTCTATCTATATATATAAAAATGAATTGCTGTTCGTTAGTCTCGCTAAAACTCGAGAGCGGCTGGACCGATTTGGCTAATTTTGGTCTTGAATTATTTGTGGAAGAGAAGCTGTGTCCAGAGAATGTTTAAAAGGTAGATAAATATGAAAATGCTCGGTATTAAATAAAAATAACAAATTTGTTTTTCCTTTGATGTGTCCCCCCCCCGTCGGACGGATTCCTTTTGGTTTGTTTTAAGTTTATTTTATACAAAAGTTTAGGTCTTTTATTTGTCGATTGAGGCAGTACGAAGTCTGCCGGGTCAGCTAGTTTTAAATAAAAATTTAATTAAATTTAATTAATTAAATTTCATTAAATTTTTATTTAAAATTATAATTATATAATAATTAATTAATAATATAATAATTAATTAAAATTTAATTAAATTAGTATCCGGAGTGAAAATGGGAACCCTGGATAGAAGTTGAAAACCAGATTCTGTTGCTAATTGGGCATTTTTGTACAATACTTATCTCACTATTTTTTCATTCATTTCGTAGTGCGAATCAAACTGCAGTACTCTATAATACGTTTGTGAATAAACTACAACTTCTGTTTAAATGAGTTTAATTTTAAAGGATGCTGAGACAGTAAATTACTATGTTGTGATCGGGCATCCGCAAGATTTGTTAGGAGTACTATCAACCAAATAATCAAACTACAACAGCCAAACTTACTGATGGTAGGACCTCTTGTGAGTCCGCACGGGTAGGTTCCACCGCCCTGCCTATTTCTGCCGCGTTTGAAGGGTGGGGCAGCCGTTGTAACTACACTGAGACCTTAGAACTTATATCTCAAGGTGGGTGGCGGTCTGCTCTCAACACCTGCAGATCGTTGAGTCTCACATACCCCGCGCGCCCCCTAGGCGCGGGGACCTCGTAGGAGGTTCGGCCCTCGGCCCGGAAAAAAAAAAAAAAAAGGGTGGCGCATTTACGTCGTGGATGTCTATGGGCTCCAGTAAGCACTTAACACCAGGTGGGCTGTGAACTCGTCCACCCATCTAAGCAATAAAAAAAAAGTCTTTGGTACAGTAAAATTATCGGAGGGAATGAAAATGAAAACTTATATTCAGTATGAAGTTACATAGTTTACCTGTCATAAGAGGTTTTATCCATTGTTAATATGAGGATATCACAACTAGGGACTTTTTTTTTTTTTTTTAACGCTGGGGAATCCATTTACGGATACCCGGTCGAGAGGGGTAATAGACCGGGTTATGTCGGACTCCGGCGCCTCCAGAGAAGAAGAGGGAGAAGAGGAAGACCAAAGTCCTCCTCTTCTTCCAATTCCTACCGGGAGACTACGCCTTGAGAAA